TCTCTTACACTACCTTTTTATGAGCCATGCCAGGGCAAGATGCATGACTATATAAAATGGATGGAAATATAGGGAAATACATGTTTTAGGTGGGTACAGGATATTGGTTAACAAGTAACTTGGTTTAAGTCTGTCTTCTGTAACTGCATATAAAATGTATAGTGCTAGTTCTGCTGCTGAAGTCTTGTGCTTAAACAGCAGTATTTCTCAGTTGCTGTGATTCATTCTGTACAGAGCTTCATCTTTCATATATATATAAAAAAATCTTCAAAAAGGAGTCCATTGTAAGCTTTGGTAGTGGCAATGCAACCAGCGGCACATTGTTTCTTTTCAAACTCTCTTAGAGGAAAAGAGATTTAATAGTTGATTTTGCAGTTTTGTGTTATAATTTGACAGTGAAACATGTACTAGAGATTTAGTTATTTTTCTTTGTTTTTCTCAGCTGCATATGTATACATAGAACTGATAAGCAAATTGCTACATGTAAAGTAGAATTGCATCATGGAGTACTGTAAGCTTTTTCTAGCACGTGTCTTAACAGTTTTTCATATTCAATAATACTCCCCCCCCCTCGCCCCCAGCATGATAATATATAAAGTTGCCATTTTAAAACACTCCACAGAGGAGGAAAATTCAGAATGTTTGTCCTTCAGGAATCTTTTTGCCGACCTGAATAAACATTGCAGAGATACCAGAGTCATTAGGGATTTGCTCTGCTAGCTAGGCAATTTCACCCCATCACCCTTTCAGTGTAAGTAACTATCCTTAATTAATGGAAATGCAATATATACTAAGTAATGACAGACCAAATAAATTAACAAATGCAGGGTAAGCTCTGTTGATGGCATCGGATGAGGATCTTGCTCCTCCATCTCATTAGTTTAGGCCAGTTAAAACCAATGTGAAGTGTAAACCTACAGTGTTTTACACTGTACAACAGCATCAAAATGAAATACATTTTACACTGTTGTTAGAATAAGTAATTGGAAGCACAAATGAAGTCATTTAGGCATGTGAATAGCTGGATTTGGTATGCAGTCCAGAACAGCTGTCTCCTGTACCCACAGCTACTGACAAACAAAGGGAGGCCAGACTTCCACAACCCATTTCTGACAGTGCACAAATAAACAACTGGAGTGAATTTAACAATAAAGGCAATATTAATCCTTCCCCATTCCTACTGTCTTGGGGATTTGAAAGGTAAATGTAATTAAGTGAAAATTGAATTTACCAGTCTGTGTGTGCAGGCTCATCTTTTCCTTTGCCTTCCCTTCCCTTGCTCCTCCTGCCTCTTAAAATCTTTAGTTCCTTTTTCTTTATACCAACCACCAATGAAATGCCAAATTTGCCTGTTTGGTTTAATTATTAATTTCTCTGGAATGACCCAAATGTAAAAATAGAGCAGTGCAGCAGGGACATAGGATGCTTTTCTTTCAGCTCTGTTTTCATGTTCTGCCTTTCTCCAAATGGCCATGTCTTTTCGCCCTTTCCTCCCTCAGTACTTTGCTTTCTCCTTCTTTCAGAGTCAGTAATCCTTAACACACAAAAAAAATAAAATCTTTGCGAGTGATGGAAGGAAATGAATTGGGCATGAGAAGTGTAAGATTTCATAATGAGAAAACAGAAGGGGGGAGCCCCAGAAATTTCACAAATTATCCTGATGAAAATTAAATTTGCAGGTGGTGTGGGGTCATGGCCTAGGTCTTCATAATTCCACTCTTCGGCAAGACTGGTACCTGCGTTTTCAGTTTACTTTTGTGTTTGTTTCTATTTTCTCCTGTCTCTCACCATCTGCAGTTACTTCTTCATGACTTGGAAAAGCAGCTTTTTGCAGCATGGATTGCTTTGTGGTTTGTGTGCCAGTGTGGTTTCCACATATTTCATGTTACCAGGTCCACGGAGATAATAGTAGTCATCATCCCTCTCTGAACAAATCCCAAAATTTGAGAGTGTGCTTCTATTTAGAACACAGAAGGTATGGACCTCTGTGACAGTGTTGTTACAGTGTTTGGGCAATAGGTGTATATTATTTCTTAGGTACACCAGTACTACTTTTTGTAGAGTAAGGAACCTACACACAACTTCTTGAGAGGGTGAATTGGCTGTGTGCGACCTCAGCTCAGTTCAAGTTTAAGTTAGCTTGGGCATCTGCACTGTGGATGCTTACAGTTCTTCCTCGTACAGGGGAGAACTGAGTTGATGGCAGGGATTTTTTTTTTTCTTTGCTGCTAAGTAATGAACAGCAGCTTCAGCAGGCGAGTGAGGCACAACAACATGGGTTTCAACACTGGTTGAAATAAACCTACTTCCTGCAATGGCTGGTTGGAACTGTTTCTGTCATAAATGACAGCTACAGTTGATTCTTTATTACTAAGAGGTGTTTTAATTTTTTTTGTAAAATAAGGAGTATATCTTGCATTGTACTGTGAAAGTGCTGTATAGGAATCATTAATGTGGAAGACAAGCATATGCTTTTCCAACAGTATTCCTTTAAGTACATTTTTCTTCTGGCTGTATCCAGGCCAAAACAAGGTAACAGTTTCACAGTAGTGATGTATGGCACAGAGTTCACTGTTTGTGGTGTAAAACAGTAAAGGACGGTGCAAGAGGAACTGCAGAGGCCTTTAAGCATGTGCATGAATTTTTCTTCTGCATCCTTCCTTTTGGGTGGTCGAAAATGTGCCGTCTCTGGGGAGGATGTTTTTGTATGTTGTGTTGTTTGGTTGTTATTTTTAGAAGGGATAATGTAAGAAATTATGTTAACAAGGAAAAAGAAAGAAAACAACCCATTTTTTTCCTGCCAAGGGGGGATAGGCATCTTTTAATTCCTGTAGGAATTCTAAAGGTCAGTAAGATTCAGGGATTCCATGTAGCTCATTGCTGCTCTTTCAGTCTATAAGCAATTAGTTGCTTGGGCCTGCCAGACAAACAGCAGGTTATTTTATATATATATATACACACACACACACACATATATATATATCTAAAAGTCAAGTATTTGTGTTTGATTATTGCCTAAAATACTTAGGCAATAATAGGCTGCTTTCCCCTAAATAATTCATTGCAGTTTTAGTTTCAAATATTGCACCTTTTTGTTGGTACTAGCCTGAGCTTCAGAACAGAGTATCTGTGATCACATCAGCACAAAAGTGTAGGTTTTTTTTAAAAACTGAAAACCAAAATACTTCTTGTAGGAACAATGCCAACAGCAGCTCAAGCTTGTTCAGGATTCAGTCAGAACATGCCAAGTTCACAAATCTCACAAGCAGGTCTTCTACAAAGGTTTTAGCGAACACTGGGGGGGAAGTGAAATCATACATAGACAACAGAGGGAATTGGTGTTCTTATGCTTCATGTTTCTTCTGATAAATGTGCTGCAATACTATCCAGCGATTTAGATCATTTACTCCTACTGTAACAGCATAAAATCACATTCAGGCAGATTCTGTATTATTAACCTTTCCCTTACACTCCTCCAGTTCCCCAGCTAGTTCTTGGTCCAACTGGAAAAGTTGCAGCAACGTTACACACATACGGACATGATGTGGCTGGCTGGCTAGCTGGGTGGGTTTTTCCCCCCACCCCCCATTGTTTGACCAGGCTCAGAGCAGTCCTGAATAACATTAAAGCGTTGCCTCTGACAGCTCAGAGTGCTTTGCCACAGGTGTAGTTTCCCCTGAGGACTCTGGGTCTGAATGCTGAGTAGAGAATAGATGTCCTTTTCCGTCCTTGACAAGAAAAGGGCATCACTCAGTGGAGGGTTTATTTAACAGCTTGATTGTATCCATGGAGTAATATCAAGCAATAAAATGTTAGTAAGAAATAAGTTTAGCAGGGGATGTTACTTCTACACTGCCCAGTATTAAGCTGTCAAAATCATCCCTGAAATATGCCGCCTTCTGTGATGAGGAGTTACAAGTGGGTTATAATTCACCATGTGTTTCTGAATGCAGCGATATGCCAGAGAAAGACAGCCCGCTGCAGCAGGTGATGTGGGAGTGGAGAAGCTACCGAATAAGGAAAGCTAGAAGGAGAAATTACTTTTCATGGCATTAGGGAGTCACATTTCAAACTTGGCTTATAATTGTATGTGCTTTACCTGTCTCTGAAATTCTCTTACATATATTAATGTTACAGCAATCTATATGAACAAGATGGGCAGTATGCCAAAGGGGGTTGTAATTTTCAAGTACCTCCATATTGTTACTGGAGAGGAGAGGAGGATATCCACTAACAGTGTAATTATGTGGCAATTCCAAGAAAATTGATTATTATTAGCTTTTTATGATCACACTAACAAAGTCAATGATCCAAGATGAAATAGCAAAAATTAGTGCTTGAACAATATTCAGCAACAAGATATTACCAGGTGAGAGTGGCTATATCCGAAACCAGATAATTCCTGAAACTGAAATGGCCATCTCCCACCAATTATAACGATGGATGTGCTCTGTTAAAGCCTGATCCACTTTAATGGGGGACTCCCACGATGAGAGGCCATGTAAGTATGCAATGACACATACAGTATATCGAGAAGTGGGTGGGTGTTTATTCTAAATACCCACATCACTGGGGTATTTGCACCTTTAACCAACAGAGAGAATTACAGGTAGTGAATACAGATCAATTTCTTCAAGTTGGTTATTGCTTTAACAAAATCTTTTGTCACTTTTTCTAACATCCATCTTCAGTCCCCCAAACACAGCACGGAGGCTGGATACCTGCATAGTCAGAACTATCATTTCCCAGCCATGTCTTCCCCTTTGAGGCTCCATGGTTTTATAAATAAGAATTAAAAACACTTCTCTCTGCTGCGAGAAGGCTTTTCTAAAAGGAGAGCAAGTGGCTGCAATACAATAGCGTAATATTTTTTAAGGTTATAATAATAAAGTAGGGGAAAGAGAATAATCATTATTGCTCTTTCTTGTAATTAGTTTGCTTTCCGATATCCCACATTGCAACTAGAACATTATTCAAGAACACCCATCACAGTGCTTAACAAGATTTAATGTACATTTATTCTTAACATGTGGAACATATAAAGATTTTATACTGAATAAATGAAATTCATTAAGCCAGAGGAAAAGGAGGAATTTACATCAAGTTTTTTCTTTTTTAACTACATTATCTTGAAATACAAATGCAGATTCTTGTCACTGAAAAATCTTTGAAGTTGTGTTTCTTCTTTTTTTTTTTTCCTGTATATATTTTTTTTGTCTGTAGACTGGTAACCATTTTCTTAAATCAATCCATACGTAACCATTTCCACACCTTGATTTATAAAGCAAATTGTGATCGGCTGCTCTCCCGAAATAGAGCATGACTTTATACATACAGAAACTTGTACATTACCCTCAGTTGTTGGTTTTCTGTGTTGGGTTTTTTCCTTTTTCTTTTTTTTTTTTTTAATTATTTTTTGGAGATATGGCCCAAATGAAAGAAAAAATAATTCTACCATCACTTTGTAGATACCACATCATGAAAAAGAAACTAAAAACTTTGTACTAAAAAAAAAAAAAAATGAGGGTATGTTTAATGTACAACTTCTATATACATCACGGCCCTTAGGCAATAAAAAAATATTTTAAAAAATGATTAAAGGAATTGTGAAGAACTGTCGTTGTGGAAGGTCAAAAAAACAGATGTAGACAAGACAGTTCTGGTGAGGAAGCAATTGATGTTTATCATCAGGTTTTGCTGAAAAATCTTTTAACTTGACTTGTTTTGTTTTGTTTTGCTCCTAGCCTAATGTAACCATTTCTCCTGAGGAGAAACCAGTATCGTTTTGTATTCTGACTACTGACTGACACCCTCCTTGATCCCCTACACCTACATCACTAGAATCTTCTATTGCACAGAGCTTTGGGTGATGGTATACAAGTTTTTTTTTATTTTTTCCTTATTTGAAAAAATAAAACACACAGGAACTTGGTATGTTGGTTATTTTTCACCTTTTTGTTTCAAAGTGGTGAGAGTTTTTTCCATCATACAATGGTTTGCCATAACATTTTTTTAAAAAGTCACTAGTTCGCTTCCCAAAAAATATGCAATACAAACATGGAAAAGAACATTGAAAAGGATAATCTATGGAAAAAAAAAAAAAGTGTGACCTTTGAATGTACTAGACAGCAACTTTGGTTAAAAAAAAAAATAAAATAAAAAGATGTACTTATACACATAGACAGCAAATATTAATTTCATAACTGTTCAAATTAATAATTTCTTTAATTCCCAATTGGTAAATAGTGAATGGGGCAGAGGAGCAAAGATTCTTTTTTTTCCTTCTTCCTACGTTGGATAAACAAGAACAGAAAACAGCCAGTTATATGTGACCCTCTAATCTCCACTCACACATGCTTGGCTTCTCACTTATGTCATAACTGCCCAATCTGAAAAAGTACATCACAGATGACAGATGCAACCAGAGAGTTCAGGACAGCAGATATTGAGATATCCAGCAAACGACCCTCGTGCAAAAGGAACTCTGAGCGGTTCTCGTCCACTCTAGCCATAGCCAGCAAGGCCTTGGCTGCCCTGCACATCATGTCTACGCTAGGTGGCTCCAGAGGTGGAGGCTGCATGTGCATGAGGTTATGCTGGCTCTGCTGGTACTGGGCCATAGTGACCCCATCCTCCAGGAAGCTTATCAAGTTTCCGATGCTTCCCTTCTGCACAGCTATTGCCCTTGCTGCTAATGTGTCCCCCTGGGCAAGGTTCGATAAGAGCGCCATGGACATTTCTCGGCAGACCGGGTTTTTGCGGTCCCCAACGTACCTAACTAAAGTAGCGTAGAGTTTCTCCTGACGACTGAATGGGGGGGTGGCCAAGATAAGGTCCACATTATTGTCCTGGATACTGAGCTTACACAGGGTCTCCAGCACAAGTCTCTGAGGCGAAAGAACTGAGTTGGGCCCCACGGTTGGAAAAGGATCCTGTGCCTCTGCAGACGGGCACACCATCCAGTGCAGCAAGCCATCCAAAATTGGCAAACAGATGCTTTCTGTGTAAGCAGACAAGTCTAGCTGCCCAGAAATGTTGGCTAATGTGACCAATGTATTATCCCTCAAGACCTCGAGGCAGTCCCACCACCACTCATCCTTGCTGCAGGCCACCCCTTTGTCCTCTTCTTCCTCTTTCTCGTAAGTCTGCGGTGCTCGCTTTCTTTCTGGATGCTCATGGTGAAGAAGGATCAACTTTCCCAGGATCAGCACCAAGCCTGGATGTTTGGACATTTCGGTGTCATTGCCAGGCACAAAAGACAAGCTACGGACGATATTTGACACACAGATGCAGCGTTTTGCCAAGGAGTCTTGCCAGTGAGTTATGGTGCATAGAGGAGTCTCATCCCTGCTCCTTGGCTCATCCTCTAGCAGTTTAATATTCCGATGACTTTTGGCTTGATGGATCCCAAAGGGAAATTTACTGCTTTCTGTTTGGGAACCAGAGTTTGAGTCTTCAGGCAATGCTCCTGGCCGAGCTGAGAGGACGTCATCAATGGTTGCTGTTATACTTTTTTCTTGTTGTTCCTCAGATTCACCTTTCCCGTCTAGGTCCTTCTTTTTGCTTGGAGAGTTCAAGGGAGGAGGGGCTTTCCTGCGTGGAGGAATCTCCATCTTGCTTTCAAAGTGAGTCTGGATATGCTCAGTTGTGTCCCCACCACCAAGCTGCCAGTGGAGAAGTCCACTATCAAATTCCTGAACACGTCCAAGTTTGTCAGATCGGTCAACAACAAATAGATTATTTTTCTTTACAATCTTTATTGGCAGCTTGTCAAATTTACTGGCTTGTTTTGGCCTCTCACTTGGATCAGCAATGGCACCAGGAGTGGAAAAAACAATGCTCTTTTCTTCCCCTTCTACCTTTTCATCCTCCCCTTCCTCCTCATCTTCGTCAAAATAGTCAATACATTCGTCGTTCTCCTCTTTTCCAGTATCCTCTGCCAAGGACTGGCTATCATCCTTCTTGGCTGCTTTGTGATCAAGTGCTTTGTGGCCTGGATCTCCCACTTCATATTCCATAAGGATTCCAAAAATGTCAATCAGGCATTTTCTAAAATATTCTACTAAAAGCTCAAGAAATCCAGACAACTGAGGGGAGAAGAAAGAACATAAAAATCAGATAAAAGGAATTTTATTAGGAACATTGATGCATACACCTGTGAACATTTCCCTCCTCCTGCTGTGGACTTGTGGCTAGGTCCTGCATGGCAGAAGTTAGTCAAAGGAAATTCTAGCATCTGTCCAAACAGTATGTAGTGTCAAACTATCATGGCTCCATTTGTGTAAACTGTAACACCTGTGAGAAGTAGAGACCTTTATTCATATGTCTCCTTTAAGCTACAGTAGGCACCTACCCTAGCTGTGCTATCCTCTTGGAAGTGGCTGCCATTCTTCATGTTCCGCATAGAGTACTGAAGTTTCTAACTCACATAGTTTTTCTGATTTGTACTTTTATTGGATGCCTGAAGTTTACAGTTCTTCCTCTCCTGCTTTGTCTCTCAGTCTCTAAAACCAACTGTCCTGTAGGAATCTGCAGTTCAGAGTCTAGGTACCAACATCCTGGATTAATACCCCATCTCTACTGGAATAGCTCTATTTTTGCCTGGCAATACTTAAAAATTGTTACTGGAGCCTGGTGCTTTAAGTCACCCTTTAGAAACAGTTTTCATTTAGGTTTAATCCTCTTAATTAGCTTGTAAACACTTTCTTATGGAAAGGCAGCAACTGGACTTGGTATTAATTTACCTTCAGTGGCTTTATTATTAAAAGTTCTTTGCTGCTATGACGTATTCAGCCCTATGTCTGGCTTTTAATGTGGTGGTGGTGTTTAAAATCGTGGGCTAATAGGTTTTCAGCAAAATGTATCCTTTTGTCTGTTCTGTATTCTCTTACAACTGCCAGACCCTCAAAGAATTAAGAAGAAACTGATGCTTATGAACTGCAGGAATTATCAGTCATCATACAGAGTCCTGACTGCCACTGGAAATAGAGTCCAAGGTAAAAGTAACAAAAACCCTGTGTTTAAAATATGCCTGGTATTCTGTGCAACTTGCACAGGGTACATTAATGCAATTTCTAACAGAATTCAGAGGAGGTTCACCTCACTTAACTTCAAACACCTGCAACAGTTAGACACCTAACCTAATTGTCTAGATTCCTTTTATAATAAATGGTCTTTTACAGGCCATTTCTAGGGTATGATTCATCTGACCTATTTTAGATCTCTACTTCAGGGTGCGATGAATCATGCTATAGATATCCCTAGTTCTAAAGTTAGGTGGGATGAAATGTACCATTTGTGTCTGTATTTAAAAGAAAAGGTCATTATATTTAAAAAAAGATGAGTTACACTATTAGTAACAAAGGAATGAATGGAGCAGGGAAACTGAATATTTAATTTGTACAAATTTGAGATGATGTGCACTATCAGCATGTCATCTATTACTACCACCTAACAGGTCAATGGTTAGAGCAGGGCTGAAAAGTGCTGGGACACAGTGAGGTAAAGCACACACTGTTAAATCCTGTGTTACTTGCATCCTGTGGACAGACAGTGGATTTTAGCCTTTATATTGCCCATCTGATATTTCTGTGCAAACTTAATTTACTGGAAGAAGAAACCAAACAGAAAATAAGCAATTCAAAAAATCCCACAGCCTAGTACGGAACTTCGGAATAGGACAAGTAGTTACCAAAAGATAACTTCAAATCCTTTTTAAATAGTTTTGCAAAGCCCATTATGGAAACACAAGATGACTAATATACTACTGTTTTCTGGGATTGTCTTTGTACTACCATGAGGGTGAATTTGCACATTTGTCTTCTGTCAGTGCTAAAATTCCTACATTCCTACATGCTCCTTTCTACAAGAGATACCCTTTCAGGCTCATTATTTCCTCTAGTTGACCTAAAGCTATCTCTTGTTGCTCACTGTTACCAACCAGAAAAAAGGGAAGTTTCACAATATCCAATTTTATATTAATTAGAATAAATTTTAAGGGTCTTCTGCATCTTATCTTGTTTCAGTTTTCCTTCCTTGGAAAGTTGTGAAGCAAACTGCTTTGCCACCTACCTGAGAGAGGTTGAAAGTAGCAACAGTGCTGTCATCATACAGAAGAATATTAATAGTGTCTAGCGCCCAGGTACTTTCAGCCAAAAGACCAGATTTAAGAGACATCATCACTCTCCAGGCCTCAGGAGTTACTGGAGGAAGAAAGAAGAAGTAAAACAGTATTAGTGCATCCTTGGAGACCGTTAATGAGTTCCAAAAGATTAAAGTGTGACATTCTGAGGATGCAGAATTTAAATGAAATAGTAACTAAAACACAGGTTAAAACCTGCTTTCGCTTTCGCCACTTAGCCCTGTTCAGTTTTTCTGTAACTGCTGCTCAGCCTTAATACTGGAGAGTATTTTAACAGGGCCATTCTTCCTGACTTTGCTGAAGCCGAAATAATCGTACAAACTTAGGGAAGCTGACTAAGCCAAATAACTAGTAAATAAAGGCCGAATACTCTGTTAGGAGTGTGGGAACTTGAAGCATGAGAACTTGAATGTATGAAATGTAACAGGAACTCAGGAAGATACTTGGGAAAGAATGGAGAGAAACAAACATGACAAATAATATGGAATGAATAAATGAGCCACTCAAGGGAGGCACGCAGCAGAACAGCATGAGCTTCCATGGAACATGAATACAGAAAGCTTTCCTCCACTAAATTCTGTACTGGTGATTTAACAGACATTCTGAAAGACATTTCAACATGTATCATTTGGAATTCTGAGGCAAGCTTCATTTTTAATACATTTCTGGAGACCTCAGGTCTCCATATAAAATATTGCTTTCATTTCATGTCAGATTGTCTGGGATGAGTTTTACCTATCATCCTCACTAATGCATATGTTATTACATTTCTACTGACAACAATCACATTATAGTTACTAAAGTTAACTGTTTGTCAAAAGAAAGTGTAAAATCAAAATTGAAGTTCCTTTCTCCCAACCTGTTTTGGCATTTGGCTTTTGTTTTGATTCTTACCAATATCTTTTGAGGTAATCTTTCGTCTTGGTTTTAAGACTGGTTGGGATGCTTCTACAGAGCCTGGAGGGAAGGTAATTTCTCGCCTAATTGGTGGTGGCTGGGGTGGAGGTCCTGTGACCTGTGACACTGGGACTGTGGGTATAACCTTTTGCATCTTCATGGAGGGTAGAAAAGGAGACTTGCTTGGAGACATACGGTTTTCCAAAGAGCGCTGGAAGGATGCTGGACTTGGAGCTCTAGAGATGTGGTTTGGCATAGAGGGTGGCGTCTGGTAGGATGACTGAGGAGGTCTAGTGATAGGCTGCATGGAGGCTGAGGATGACATATAAGAAGGCTGACGTTGGTTGACATGAGAAGGCCACTGACTCTCGTGGTTTATCCTCTGGTCAGGTACCATCATATCATCAGTGCGATTCATCCCTGGATACGGTGGGGCCTGTGCAGGGCCTCCTGGACCTTGCCTGTTCTGGTAAGGGTAAGGCATATCATTTCGTGTTGGCCACATGTTCTGCTGAGGACCTTCGCTGGAGGATGATGACTGCATGGGGCCACCAATCATCTGGGGAGGTATTCCATGCTGCTGCATTTGTCCTGGGCCCTGCATCCTCTCCCTGTTATATGGATATGGATACTGTCCCTGCATGGGCCTCCTGTCAGGCCCCGTGTAAGCGTTGCTGTACTGGTTATACATTTCCTGTTGCTGGTTGCCGTACTGCATGTTATACATATCCCCTTCATGGCGCTTGGCTGGAGGCCCATACATGCCATCCATGTGTCGCTTGTAGTTCTGGAAAAAAAAATAATGTGGAGAGATGATGTGTCACTTTTACTCCATACACAATACAGATACACTGGCTGAAAGCTCACTTAAAAAGCTGAAGGCGCTTAGTCTGTGCTGGGGGTTTGTGCCGATTCCAGAGCCAGGAACACAGTGCTATAGTTAGGCTTGATCCGGTGGTTTCTTTTTAAGTCTCTATTTAGCTGCGCTTATAACTTAATACTAGAAAGAAACTTATCCTTGGGCTAAATTTTCTTATGCTTGCTCTCATTTCCTCCCTTTCCCTTCCCTTTCCTTTCCTTTCTGTCAGATTAAATTCCACTGGTCATTTCAGACATGCATGAAAAGGCAATGGTCCTCACCAACTAAAATATTTTCATTTCTTTTTTATGCTTGGTCTACTAAGAAAAAAAAAACTTAAAAAAATTCAAAACCACTTGGTGAATCTTTTCAAGAGACAAGCACTGAATGAACTCTTAAAATAATAAGATAAGCTGCAAGCATGCATGTCTGAAATGCTGGATCTTAGAACAGGGCATAGGCTACACAGTAAATTTATTGGTAGGAGAAAACATTCTGTTGCATTTGCTACTCTGTGTAATTCCCAGAAACACGGTCCTGTTTGGGCAACCATCCCTCTTCCCAAATCATCCTAATCACATTTAATTTACTGTGTGATTATTACAGCAAATGGTCACATCCAAATGTACTGTTCCAGTTTATGCAGGTTCTTACCCTGCTGATCAGTAATGAATTAAGCAACGTAACTAACAGCTGCCACCTATGGTCTATTCCCTCGTTGTTTCTCGCCCTCTCAAATGGGGAATGTTGTGTGAAGTGAGCTGTTTTTAAATCATACAAGCTGTATGTATTTATGTTTAGGATGGCAGAACTAAAAAAGATGTTGCAGTTTGAGGGGAAGGTGGTAAGGTTTGCAGTGGTCCTTCGTTCCTGTGGGAGTTTGTTCCACAGTTCAAACCACACCGAGTGCTCTGAAGCAAAAAATGTGAATTAAATGGGTGATTCTTGAATATATGATCTATGGCAAATACAAAGTTACAGCTCCCCCGGAAACTGTAGCTCAGTCACACTGCACAATGTATACTAATGTACTGGAGTTAAGATCAGATAAAATTCTGTGTGTATTCAATATGGGTCAGTTAAAACAGCTCTGGGATTCATAAAATCATCTTCCAACTTTGGTGCACATAAAACCACAACTATGGCACTGAATTAAAGTATTCATTTTTTTCTTTAAACTTGCTATAGAGCTGTCTTCTATCTGAGAAATACCCATTTTCAGCCTTACATAAACTCCTTGCTGTAGTAAATGCTACCCTTGGGGCCAATTTATACATTAAAAACTGACTTGGCAGTTGCCACACCTAAAAAGGTGGTGTTTGTTCTGCCACAAAAAGCACCGAGTGCTTAAAGTAGACACTGGGAATGAAGCATGTGCCTTTTTAAAAGCTGTTCAGCACTTCTGTATATGTAGTGGCAACACACCTAATGGTACCCAATGCTGAGGACAGTGATGCACCTGAATTCCCCCTTCTGTATAAAGGTTTGGCAAGAGGCTGGGGCTGCAACAATGTGCTTCCACTGGGAATGTAGAATTCTGAGACCTCACAGAAGACAAAAAACCACCAACACTGGTCACCTGCTGCCTAATAGCTCTTGGGGTATGAGCATTTGGTACAGGAATTGAAAAACCTGGCTCGAAGTGCTTCATTAGCCCCAGGAGTGGGGGAGTGCTCCAAGCACCTTCATCCAGATCATTCCCTAGCCTTCAGGTTGTAGATAAAGATTCAAAAGGGCCTTTTTTTTTTTTTTTTCATATTCTTCCTGTACTACTATAAAGTGAGATTTAGGAAAATTGAAAATAAGCTAGTGGCAACCTAATCTCTAGCTAAATGAAGAAGTGGAATCCTCTGGGAGTGGGAGGGAGAGGCTGAGGGCAGCCAGGATCTTTGCCCTTAATTCTTCACTGCTTTTTTTGCATTAATGCATTTTGCATTCCAGAGTCATTGTACAAGGCATATAAACAGCATTAAGGACAGGGCCAAATATATTTTTACAAATTCTAGCTGTCTCCTTGCTTAGATGAACATGTAGTTAATATATTCCCTGCATACCTTAGCATGGAATATCACAAACTGTTCTGTTATAGATCTTTGCAATTTCCCCACTAAATCACCTAGACTGCTAGCATATGCTCATCATAAAGAACAACGAAACAGTTTTTTGATTATGCTATTTTAGAGATGTTATGAACCAAAGAGATAAGCAAGAAATTCTGAAACTGGAATTTATATACATTTTCGGCGCAGTACCAACTAAGATCTCTTCCTTTAGTAGTGTCCCTTCCCCCACCCCCTAAATTTCCTAGTAAAACTCTATCCCAAGCCGAAAAGGACTATCTGAAATTGGCTAAAAACTTGCTTACATTTAAATTTTTATATTGTAAGGAGATGCTTTCTATTTTGGAAGCTAACTTCAATTCTTATTATTGTATGACTAGAAATCAATTAATAACATGCAGGATTAAACTCTGATCCTGTTGAAGACAGTGTAGTTTTGCTATTGACTGCTAGGGTGGGGTTTTGCCTGCAAGGTATTAATGTTACACCTAACAAAAACCCCTTATTAATTAATAAAATTTGTATTTTCAAAGTTACTACATGGTTAGGGTGACTGGAATGCACAAATGGTTAAACTATTTCTAACAGTAATGTTCTCTCTCATGTATTTGTACCATATCATTACTGGAGACAACATGTGGGGAATATGCCATCTGATCTGTACTAAAGATAGGTATCTCATGTCACCTACCACGGCACTGTGAATAACTGAGAATACTGCACATTTTACCTTGTTCCAGTTTTCTTTTGGGTTCACTTGGCTGTATGACATTATGTTAAGATCCTTCAACTTGCCAGCCAAGCAGCTTTCCTGTTTGTTTCTGGAATTGAGGCAGCATTACTTTACTATCCTACAAATTAGACTTTCCCAGTCTGCTGGTTAGTAACTTGGGAAAATCACTTGATACACATCCAAAGCCACAGAACATCTGTTAAAATTTACACTCTTCCAGCGTAATGAACACATTTTCATATAGTTGCACATACGCTGCTTATCTATATGGGCTGTGATTTTGACCAGAACTACAGTGCTCCTCTGTGCTAAAAGACATGTACAGTATAGGCAAATATTTGAACGTATACAGAATTTTGGGGTGAGATTTATTAAACAAATGTTACAAATATAGCTGTTTTCCCCTCTCCTACCTGCTGCTGTGGATACATTCCAGGTTGATGTCCTCCATATGGTGGCTGTCCTGAGGGAGGTCCTTGTCCTGGATACTGCTGCCCATATGGTTCATGCCTAAAATGAAGCATTCAAATCAACACTTAGAGCTGCTGTAATTTCCAAGACACCAGGAAAAGCAAAGTGCTCTGATGATCTTGCACCTTGAAGGTATTTGCCATTTGGAACCAAGGTGAAGGTACAGTGTGGTATAGTCCTGAGCCTGATGTAATAAGCTCTGCTGGAGCTGTTAGTGGAAGAGAGGAGATAAAGCAGATAGATAGAAGAAAGGAGAAGCAGTGAAGATGCAAGAGAGATTTAAAGGTAGTAGTCATGAATGGGAACAGGGTATTGTCAGCAAAGAGGTAAGACAGGCTGCTGCAGCACCGGGAATGCATCTTAGGTGGAACGGTATCTTATGTGCAGCTCAAAGATTGCAAGTCAAAATTCTTGTGTTTTAACAAGAATTACCACTCAAGTCACCAAGCAAGCTACTTTCTGCATTATTTAAGAATATGATCAATAATTAACTGCTGATTTAAAGTGAAATTATTAGTCTGATGATAGTGACAGTGAGTACAAATTTAATTACAATATGTAACATTTATATACATCATCGCTGAGTAAAAAAAAATACATCTAAGTTTGCTAATGTTCATGTTATTTTTAATTGAAGCTACATAATGAAGTATACACATGAAAGGTAGAGCTGTGCTGCACCTGGAAACTTACCTGTGGCCTTGAAGACCTCTGAGGAGCACTACAGTGCAACTGCAATATTTTTAGCACATCTGAATGAAATTTAGGTTGCTGAAATGAAGTACTTGGAAAGTATTACGACTGATAAATACCAGTTGTACTGCAGACCACAACGTCAGTAATTCCTCTCTGTACACTCACTACCAGTGAGAACACATCTACAATTTGAGTGTAATTATGGAAGCAATCTATCACAGGGAGTCAGAGAAACAAGAGGACTGGAGAACATGACATGCTAAAAGAACTAATGGGACTTCCAAAGGCATAGAAAACTCACATTTTTTGAGAGTTGACCAGAATGAAAGCATTAGCTGTTCAGTGTGTCCTAAACTATGATGAGGATGGAAAGAAATTACCTAATGCCAGTTAAAAACCCAATACAACTGATGGGGATTGTCTACAGTTGTCCAAGATGGGACATGCAATAACATAAAACTAAGAAAAGTACATGTATGGCATACATAAGGGAACACTTTCTAAATGTTCAATTTGTTAGCCACAGAATAACCACAAGCCAGGTGAAGTTGTGGAAACTTCAGAACTGGTGTCATTTAATGATGCTCTGGAGATCTTGTGCCTATAAAATATGTTCTAGTTCAGTGTTGGCAGGGAGATACAAAACTAACTCCTTATCTAATCTCCGATTCTACAGCTACAGAAAGTCAACAGATTCACCCACGTCTCTGCCACTCCAAGAAACTGAACCAATGGTAAAACCCTAAATAAGAACAGGCAAAACACACTAAGAGGCCACATATTCTGTCTATGTGCTCTCACAGAGGCTGGTAGCGCTCGTTAGCTGGTTATTGTAGATACTACAAACAGAGAAATCAGTGTTCACCTTTGCTGGCCAGGGCAACAATTAGGAGAGTATATGCTTGGGTCACTGTTTGAAGGCACCATGTTGCTTTGACCAGGTGGTCCCATACTGCCTTCAGGACCCAGCCCATGATCCAACCTAAAAAATGACAAAGGAAACCTCATTCTGTAAAAATCACTTACTCTCCAAAATTGCCAACAAAATAAGATAGGCGCCTTAAAGAAAACGTTCTCTTGACTTATCACCTTCTACTGGAACCCTTATTTTCACTGACTCCCCAGCAATGTGACCTGTTGAAAAACATGATTATACTCGTGTTACTGTACACATCTACTAGTTCAAACTACTGACTGAAAAGCACTCCACTGTTAGACTCAAAGGCACACACTGCACCACTTTGGCTACCATCTGGAAACAGGAAGTGAAGCTTAAGTACACAGCCTAATGAAAGTAAAAGTAGAAACACAGCCGGAGCTGCAAAACCTACTGGAATACATAATGTAATCCAAACACTTCCAAACCATTCTGCTTGCTATACCAATGATTAGACATGGTGATTTTACCAATTTGTTTTTTTAACCCAAAGACTTTCCTGGGATAAACAAAAGAGGAACAAATTCATTTTGTGTACTTCACTGACAGACAAACCTATGAGGGTTCTGACAGACACACTGCAAGACTGGTGCCCCTACAATTCAGACAACAGACTCCAGACTCTCCAAAGGGAATTGACTAACAGACCACAACCTAGACATACTTAGGGTGTGCATTCTGGTTTTCATAAAATGCTCACCAACAGCTGGTTAGGTGAAAACATGGCCAGAAGACTAACTCAAGTGCTAGTTTTTGCCATCACAGCCCAGCCCAGCCGCCAGCTCAAGGCAGCACCCACATGCTGATCTGCTGCAGCTTGAGTGACTTCTAAGGTACGACAATTCCTCCTTATTACTTCCTGTGAACAGCTAAGACTCAGTCATTACCAGTGGTTTGACTCCCAGTGATTTAGTAAGATGCTGTAGCAAATGTAAGCTGCTATGTTCTCTGCAAGCTGCAATGGGAAAATGAGAAAGAGAGAGAGAGGATCATTTTTGCTAATGGGCTTTTCCTGAAGATTGACTCACCTCCTGTCATAGCCACTTCCATAAGAGAACTGCTGTCGCTGGCTCATGCTCATGTTGGACATTGCTCCAGATGGACTCTGGTTATACATATCTTGTATTCCACTGTTAGGCATTTGTCCAGGGGTCATGAAAGGCTCATTGCTTCCAGGCACTGCAACAGTAAGGGAAATTAAATGTATTATTCTGGGTGCTTGAAGATATCTATTAAATGATGTATTTTACAATAATGTTCAGATCCATAACACTGCCAAGGAGAATTAGCTGGTATTTGACAAGCTTTCCAGGGTCTGATGAAAACACATGAAGCAGCACCACTACCAAGATATAACAGTGAGGAGCTGCAAGCAAAGAAAGTAATCTCATCCTATGGAACTGAACTCATCAGGCACCAGGCAGCTTCTTCCCTGTGGTCTTCACAGCTGAAGATCAACTTGCTCTTGTTCTTTTCACCCCAAACAATGCTAAATACGAACGAAAACACAAACCTTACAAAACAGACTAAAGCAAATCTCCTAGTCTGCATTACAAAGCCGTCAGAATCAGGCTCTTTGTTTCCCCATAAAGCCCGCACACACACATGTATACCATAATTTAATTCTGGAAAACATGCTGTATCCTAATGTAGCTTATTGAACAGGATGGGCATATTCTATGGGTCTAAGAGAAGGCACATTGACCACTATTATCAGATATAAATCCCCAAGCGAATACAGGAAGAGACTCCATCCTTTAGTCCCTCATAGCAGATACCGAACAGAGACATTTCTATTTTGACAGGATAAACGTACGACAAAGTGCAATAAACGCACTTAATCCTACACAGATATAAACCCTAAAATGAATCTAAGGCAGAAAGGGTTTTCTCTTCTTCCAACTGTGCTATGCTAGTATCCACAGTCCAGGTGAAAGGATTTAAAGGGAACCTTTAAAAAAATTCACATCAGGTTAACTATCTCTTTTAAGCATCTCCTCACTTCATCGCATATATTTCTTCCCCTGCTTTCCGAGCTGCTTATTCCCATTTCTCCCTTTTGCTCCCTTTCAGTTTCCACTTTCTTAATTTCATCTCCTCCATCTGCTCTTCTCTTTGCAACACTGTGAACCCTGCTTGTGTTCTTTCCACCCACCTTCCTATATAAGAGGCATGCAAGATTGATTCATTTTAAGCATGTTTTACAATATCCATCTGTAGGTTAAGTGGCCAAAAGGACAAGAGTCAGGTTTGACAATGATCTTAATTTTTGCTTTCTAAAAATAAACAAACACTGAGTGTGTTTATTACCTTCTGTCAGGGCCTGTTCAAGTGAGAAAAAATTATCTTTCCTCTTCTGAAAATACGTAAACTGAGACAGAGAGCATTAGGAGACTGGCTCAGTTCTGCACAGTGAATTCCAAGTTCAGCCCTACTACAACCAGGCATGTTCCTTCATCACTTCACATTCTAACACTGAAGTCCAGCATCAGATTTGCAGGGTGGCTAACCACCTTCAAGAAACATATGGCACTGCACAAAATCTAACCCTATGCGTTTATGCCATTTCCTGAAATGTATTCCTACAAGCATTTTTAGGATTCTGTTAAGTCTCAAATAAACAGTGTGACTCTGAGAGAGGAAAATAGACCAGACCAGAATGAAACACAACTGTGCTACACCTCTCTTTTTGCTACAAGGATATCATTTTACCAATGGCAAAATCAGTAAAGAAGCTCATTCTGACAAGTAGAACATCTTGGTTACAGAGAAGTAGGGAAGAATACTTAAGCTCCCACAAAGAAAATACCTTTTCTCATTCCACCGAAAGGATCTTTATTCGGCTCATATGGCATCCTTCCCATCATATCTGGCATGTTTATTCCCTGCTGGTATGGTGCATTTGGCGTCATGGAGTTTCGCTTTGGGAATGCTGAATCACTTACGTCAGAAAAGGGATCATGCACACTGACTGCACTGTTTCTAGTGGATGAGAAAAAGGAGACATTAATCATGTATTCATAAGAATTGTGAAAACAGACCGGACAATTATACACCTAGTCCATGATGCTGCGGCAGTGGTCAGTGCAGGATACATCTGAGAAAGATACAAAATACTTTCACAAGGGACAACCATTTAAAAAATCTACCCATTTTTTCCCCAAGCTTAGCTGGCTACTTACCTTAAAGAACCCCTAAAGGGTTTTAATCTAATTCAGCTGTGTGTGTTCCTGTTACTCATAGAAAAGTCTAAATATTTCTGAAATTTCACTAAGCTGTTTTGCTGTTTCTTAAATAGTGAAAGAAAACTCAATCTGAATTAAACATTACTAAAAAAGGTTCTTGTTATCCTTTCTGAAGTATCACAGATGGAGAAAAAAAAGAACCTAAGTATGTTTGGAGTGACTGTACATAGTTCAGAGCTTGGCTATATTCCTGCTAACTTTTTTTGTGGGACTTCAGTGGGATAAGAATCCTTAATGAATGGTGAGATGGCTTCACTTCAGATTAAGCCTGTCTCTGTGACTTACAGGACATAGAACTGAAAGGGATCTCTTAGTCCATCCAGCTGAATTCTCTGCTAACTCAACAACTGTTATTATATATGCTTTTCATAATTCGAATTTAAGTAACACCTTAAAACCACACATTCCTCCTTCCTGAGCATGAATGTCTGGACCTCTATACCAGAGGAGTACAGGGTAAACAAGGAAAGGAAGGCTGTGGTTCTAAGCCGGTGCCTCTGGGTTCCACCTTCCTCTGCACTCTTCACATATTCACGTGCACCCCTTTGCACTGGTGCTTGTCTGATCCTTCTCTGGTATTTAGAAAGTTAATGCAGCTCCTACTTCTTCCTCCCCTTCCCTCTCTCCCTGCCAAAAAGAAATAATTTTCTGCCACTTTTAAGACTCTGACTAGTTCTCCACAGCATCCGATGAGTGCTCTAACAGTTGGGAAAGACAAGCTTAAACTGTTGTAGAACTACAGCCCAACTAAAAATGAGACAAAGCTCTTTTCATACCTGCCACCCTGCATAGGCGTCATCTGTCCATGAGGTGTTGATGCTGGTGTTGGGGGCTTCAAATCGCCTGGCACTTCTGTCATGGAATTACTACCAGTAGACTGTGGAGTCTGCGGGCCTTGCAAGGAACCAGAATTTGCTGGAAAATTAAAGAAACAAGAAATATTAAAAGGTAGCAGCCAAATTCCTGTGGAGAGAAACTGGTTCTTTCACCCATAAGTCTGCTTATAACACGCATCTCAGTACTTTAGAACTTTCCCAAAACCCTCTGATACCAGAATATGCTGTGCAGTAACAGCCATCATCTTTCCTGGAACCATGAATTTAATCTGCTGCCTGAAGCAACATGAATAGAAACCATTTAGGAGCATCATTTAAATCAGAGGTCAGAGATAGATACATAGTTAACTGTCTATAGTTTACAACAGAGTAAATGAAGGTTGTTCTTTGGCACAGCTTCTTTATATAATCACTATCACAACACATACGTTTACAAGGCAAATTTCAGCCAGCAGCTTTTCCTCACAAATTTAAACTGCTATAATAATATAAATTCATAATTTCATTTACCACTAAAGGCAGACATCACCATGGTGAAGCATGGCAAATGATCAGTGGCACACTGCAACCCTATGCCATCTTTGGGATAGCATGGCAAAAGATTGTGTTTAAGAAAAAGCAAAAGGCAATCTGGGACAACGAGAAACTGATCATCGAAAGGAGAATTTGAGCAGGAGGCTACAGCTAACACTCCTAATAAAACTGTAAAGATAGCAATGGACATCTGTAGTTAAGGTCATTGTAGAGCCTATGTAACAAGACCAGGTCAATTTTGCAAAGCATCTATTTCATCTGCAAAATCTTCTATGTTGAGATGTCAGAGTACCTGCGCTATTGCCCTTCTTCACCATGGTAAATAGCTCTATTCTTGATATGACAAGCATAGAAAAGCTTGTATTGTTTTATTCCAGTGAGACTGAGCAGTAATAAGGGCATTCAATGATACATCATATAAACCAATGATAAAATAAATCCAGACCAGTCTCTTAAAGTAGACACTGAAGTTACTATTTTCATGTAACTACTGAGGAGAAATACTCACAAACCCAAAGACCTGATGTAGCAGTTTTCTTACTTACAAGGTGGTTATGTGGGAATTAGTAACAACTTGTAAGCCTTGGACCTGACTGGCCTTGCCACAGAAATTCTACCCATGGAGAATTTGTAATATTCAAATCTTTAGGTGCAATTGGGGAAAAAAATTTACCAACAGGAAAAAAATCACACATCTAATAGGCTCAGAAAGACACGGCTTTGGCTTGAGAGGTCCTTCTTTTTTATAAACTGTCTTGTAGGCATTTTATAGTGCCTGACTATCTACATTCAACAACCAATTAACAAAACTTTATAAATTACCGTTAGAGGGAAAATTGGAACAAGCAGTATGGTCTTTTCTTCTGTATGTGAAAGAGAGAGTAGTTTATAATTGACTCAGAATCCTAGAACACTCATCATCTTGACAGGCAGAGCTTGTTTTTAACTGAAGAACACCTTTTTTATATGTGTTTCATTTATATCTGTAACACATGTTCCACTATCTGGAAATCAGTCTCAGTAGCAAGTGCATATGTAAAATCCACATTGTGTAGACCACATTGTTCTTGTCCTCAGCTTTCCAAGGAATGTTTGGAATATGCTCACATAGTAATGAGGTTCAAAAAAAGTTTAAGTAAAGCTCTCTGATTGCATTAATATAGTAACAACAATTGCAACAACTAATGCTACAGTGACTGAAGGCTTTAGTGCTGTAATAAAACAAATCCATATGATAAAAAAGTAAAAATCATGTTCACATAAAGTGAGCCCTTTGTACATATGACCCCTGTGTGAGCCAGGATCATTCTCCTGCCCTTGAGCTTTAAACTTTAATTCTAGATTACTTCTAAAAAGCTTGAAAGCATTTCTGAGTTAAGCCACATGTTGTCACATACCATCTTGTTAGAGTTGAACCATGTAAGTAAACATCTCAGTGTACCCATATACTTACTGTAAAATATGATACCACCTAACCCTGGGTATTTCTCTTATGGTGGGCTATTAAGCAGCAATTAACTTCTTCCCTATCCTACCTGTGCTGGGTGGTGGTGTAGGTTATGGCGGTTATGGTTATTTTTCCCCTGCCTCTTTCTAAATGACTACACCAAATATAAAAATGGAAGGCAAATGCTATCATGAGAAGTGCAATTTCTGGTACTGCTACAGTCAGGGAGACCTATAAAGAACAGGGACTGCAAGTATGTTAATCTCTCGACTGGGTCATCAGCTACCGAGAAGAGCCCAAACGTGAATATGCCTTACAAGAAACTGCCATACACTCAGAGGCCATTGAATAGTCCACCTTTATTTCAGAAATAACATAAATGTAGAAAGCACATTCCTTGAGAAAGAATAAGGTGTGTACTCTTAATGGTTCCTGGTAGCAAAGCAGATACAATCTTTAAACCAACTTAACTTTCTCTTTTGGGATGTGATTTTCAGTACCTTTGCCAAGCTTCAGTCAATTCCCTTCAAGCTAATTTTGTTTTCACAATTTTCAGCTGTAACTGGCCAGCTTTTTCTAAAAATACGCCTTTGAAAATATATAGTCCTCTTCTGTTGTCCCCAAAAGAGAAACAGTTTTCTGTTCTCCAAGCAGAGAATAATACATACTTCCAAGCCAAGTATATATTTGGTCACCTTTTTCACACACAGCAACAGTGGTCCCTTTATTGTTTGAAGAAGAGACTTGGTGGTAAATGCTGGGAATGTGCCTGTGACAGGGAAAGCACCCTTGCTGTTCCAGTGTTTATTTTGATTTGGTTAGATAAAACTGAAAAAATATCTGTTCCTATGTAGAGATTATTACCTTGCTATATGTTTACTGCTTGGTTCTCTGAAGATCCTGTTTCTACTTATTTCAGGCTCTGGGTGTGCAGGAGACTCATTGTAATTCAGCTCCTGGGTTGATCTGGGCAGTCTTGAATGTGGAGCTGAGCGTGAGAACCTATAGCCAGGAAGCTACCCTGCACAAGCTCTCAAGGTTACAACTGGAGGGAGGTTGGTAAGCAGAGGCAGGGTAATAGGGTTTCTTATGTTGTGAATTTTTTGGTAGTCCCGTTCCTCTCCTGTAGAATGGGAATCATACTACTTTCCCTCTCAGAGGAGTATTGCAAAGGCTGATTAGTGCTTGTTAAAGCCCTCAAATACATCTGTAGTGAAGATGAGAAAAACTAAGGAGTAAATTCAAATCTCTGTTTGAGTCTGGTTGAAAACTGTGGCACAAGCGAGGATAACATAGAATACTGAATAGTCCCTCATTCACTGAGCACTGTTTACTCCATGCACTGAATGACATAAACATTTCATGGAAAAATTTTCAATGTGACTGTGTAATTAAGAGTGTATTGAACTGTATATGCACAAGGAAACATAATTAAGGTTGCAATGATTATATCTCACTTTCGGCATTTCCTATCTTTTAAGCACTTGACTTTGCATCAAAGCAATACACTTCAAACAGTTTTTGGATAAGAGCATGTGCACACAGGTACCTGCATGCACACACATTAAATGCAAACTAGCTATGTTTTCTCACACGTACATTTTACACACATTGCCATTAGCAATGTTTTCTAGTTAAAGAATATGAAAACAACCCTCTTCTCTGCAAGAAAGTACCATATGCCTTTTTCATATTTTACCTTAGATTTTACATTTGCTAAGCTGCTCACTGAAATTTCTACACTATCCTTGCAGGGTTTTTATGACGCTGGATGTTTAATTTTGATTGTGGACACCCTGAAATAGAAACGTTATCTTTAGAAGTGCTTCATAAGCTTCAGTATTAAACAAAGAGCTAAGAAGGAAGACAAAAAACAATGTTCTTTCGGAACAGGTAATCTCTGCTTACATGATTCTGCAGCTGATTTGGGGATGCCCAGGAAAAACCTTGTGTATACATAGCTACTGAATTCTTCATCCCACATCCACACCTGAGCAACACCCGTCTTTCAAGTATCATGACAGATTTGTAAGAATATGCTTTTAACAACAGAAAATCCATCCAAAATGAAGTAAGATGCACGTTTGCCAGTGAGCAGGTGAGGTCCTACAAACTCTTCCACAGTTCACTCAATGGCACACGTCATTCTCAGCAGCATGAAATTATAGCACCCGCATGGCTTCTTCCTTGCACAGCCTGCGTACAAAGCCTACTCTTCCTGAAAGTACTGCTTTCAGGAAAGGCTCTTTATTTACCAGAACAGAATATACAGTTTAAAAAAAAAAAAAAAAAGTCTTTCTCTTGCCAGCATTTTTTTTCCCTTCAGGAAAAAAAAAAAAAAAGGGAAAAGAAGAATGCAGCCTCTTAAAACTCCATTAATATGAGGCCTGACATGCTCTCTAGGATATCCCTACCTTTTGCCAGAAGCTACAAATGTATACTCTAAAGTAAACAATGGAAAGGTTACTGAAGGTTAAGTACATTCACATACTTCAGAGTGAACAGCCAGCCACCACGCTGGGAAGATAATTTACACAGCATGAACCCAGTGCCCCAGATAGGCTGGGCTGGGGGCTGCTTGCTGCGGCAGGGCCCCCCTGGGTGGGCACCTCTCTCTGTGCCCTTCTTCCACCCTTCCCGACCCCTTGCCCATCCATCTTCCTTGGGGATTCCCTGGCTGGCCTCATGACACGCTCCATGACATCACCTGCCTGCTAATAATAGCACTTCAGTCAGCCACCCGCCAGCAGAGACGATGGATTTGGTTACAGATGCACTCACTGAATGGCTGTGTCGTGTGGTGCTGTGTCGTGTCCCCCCCACCATCCCCCTCCCCAAGTGTTGTTTCTCTGCTGCCAAGGAAACGCGGGGAACACACGCTCTTGGCGTGCTCTTGCTCCCTCTTTCCAACACAGGCACACAATTTTCCAGGTTTGCTGTAACGAAATCTCCACTGACATCAGGACCAGCTGCTGAGTGTTACTCAGAAGCATCCTCAGCTGCACCACTGTGGCCATTCTGCTCATTCAGTACAGGATAAACACTCAGCCTGTAATTTTGAGAGTCATGCATACATAACCACATACTGCAGCTAAGAATCTACACTGCCAGAATACAGCAATGGAAAATAACTCCTTCATGCTGATGCTCTTTTGAAATTTGTTCTCTGGCACCCATTAGTGCTTAGTGTAAGACCCTCCAGAATTCTTTTCAATTTAGAACTTGCCACATAATTTGTGCATATTTTAGTCAGAACTATCAAACACGCATGACAGGAAGAACATTTTGTCTTTGCACCCACTTCTGGAAAGCGCTGAGGTCCTAGAAAGATCTTATGAAGATCTACAATGACTCTCTCTCTTTAAGGGGTTTTCTATGTTTCAAAATAGCAGTCAACAGTTGACTTGGACCTTGCCATGGACCCCGTAATCAGGACATAAGGCCAACAGGCATCCTCTAATGGCTAGCCTGTCACCAGGCATCTGCTTCTGGTCTTCTCTGCTGACAGCATTACCTGACCCAGATTTAAGCTATAATATGAAGGCCTCAGCCTACAACAACACATCTCCAACTTGCACAGCCTCTAGAGCAGTGCAAGCCACCCTAAAACATGTTCAGGCCCCCACCTCTCCCTGGCAGCATTACAAAAGAACACACCACTGCCTTGCAGTCCCATAGGTTTGACTTACACATCACACCCTTTCCCTGACTGGGTTCTTCTACAGCAGTCTCCTTGCTACAGTTGTTGCGCTGCATTTCCTAGTACTGCTATGACCACGTTCTAAGGGTCTTCTGTAAGGCAGTCATACAACCACCCCTTGGATGTGAGACATCTGTTAGGACTGCGCTTCTGAAGTGTCTAAACTGTTCTTCAGCCTGCTTCCACCTTGAGTAACATCTACCTGGGAACTACATCTACAGAGGAACTGCATTCTTCTCTGTACTAAGGCAGGTCCCAGTGTGTTCTTATGAGCAATTGAAATATTTAGTTTTAAAAGTTTTATGAGTATCAGGTGATTTTTAAACTCTCAAGACTTTAACTTCATAGCATCAGCTGGTTAGAATTGAACAAAATACAACACCCTCCCCTCAGAGACAAGTCCCCCTGCTTTTTTATCAGAATTAACTTCAGCCCTAATACTGTAACTAGTTCTCTGTGAATGGATTTGGCTTCAAAGTGGCTCTGCCTGCATTGAGCTAACTGCACAACAGAGGCTAATGGTTAAAGCAAGGACCTTTGGAGGCTACTGTTTCTTCTTGTATTGGGCTCCTGTTCCCTCTGAATGCCAGAGTAACAGATTAACTAAAGTACATCTACAACTCTACTTCTTTTGTGCAGTTAAAATGTTAATGTTGGTATATACTAAAGGAAAAGGAGCAAGAAAAAAAGCTGACTATTAAAGAGAACAGGCTTGTACTCTCTGCAGCATCTATGCCTCAGCGGGATTTCATGTACTAAAGCTGATACACACTGGGAAAGCCTTTCTCCGTACAGAAGTGCAGTCCCATTCAGTGACACAAGCTCTTTTCTTGCCAACAAAACAAACCTTGAGATCTTTGCTTGCTTCCCCCTCTTCTACTCTCTATGTCCTGCTGTGTTTTTATTTTAGAAAAATAGTTTCAGTTCTCCTCATAGACAGCTTGCTTGAATGTTATGATAAATTTAATCTTGGACTTTGCCATTTTCATCGGTAGTGTCATGATGCAAAAGGACCCTGTAGAAATGGTATGTCTGATATTTTTATTCCTTTGTTTCAGGTTTATGTATTTAAATAATGATTCTTCACCCCAAAATTCAGCTAACTTACGGTGATCATCCCTGAAGCAACTACTGAGAGCACTGCTGGATCGAGAGGGGCAAGGAAGGAGATAGTAAAGCAACATACACTTTCATTTTTAGTACTGCTATTTAATTTTAGGAACAGCTGAATTTCCTCTTCACCCTCCTTAACAAGTCTAACAGTTTCAGCTCCCCTCACCAGCCTTCTCAGGAGGTGACAGGCATGTCCAACGTCTCTTATTTTCTGCAGTAGTGCACATTCAGGACACTTACGCTCATTTCAGACAGATAAATGATTGGACTATAGGCTTCACTTCCAGTACCAAGTGTTTTTCTGCATCTTCTAAACTTGCATTGCAAAGTAACCTAGTTATCTAGTCTATTAAATAATCGGTGTTAGGGTACATGATAACCCTCGGTGGTAACAAGGTAGGGGAAATATTTAAGTTATTGAAGAGCTGTACCTAGGAAGATTTTAACTAAACACTCCCCTGAATCCTTACACTGAATACATCAGGCTGAGAAAGATTTAAGCCTTATCGCTGTTACGTTTTTCTGTACTGACAAAGCGCTATCATAAGAAATGATCTTGTAAAGGCCAGAACTGTATTACATGATTATAAAGGTTTCTGCAATTTTCTAGTATCCACAATAGGATACTGGAGCCAGACAGCCTGCAAACTGCCTGCAGAGCTTGCTGGTCCCTGACTTGTCACTTCGCATTTTCAGCCAGTGAACTGCACTAACAGAAATTAAGTTATTTAATACTTTCCTAAAACTGCCTTCTAATGCAGGGAACTGCTGTAAACATTCCAGGAATTACATTCTCTTTGTGATAACAGAAGGCAGCCTGCGTAATAGTAATTGTGAAGGTAGTTCACAGATTTTGTCAAATTATTTTGTTGGTCAGAAAAGCCTAATAACCAGGAAACCAAAGCAATTTTTTCCCCTCTTCCATGGGTAGTACAGAAGACAACATCATAGACTAGTACTATGCCTGTCTTGCCTTGGCTATCAAATCTTTAGAGTCTAAAGTTAAATGAACTTAGAAAGAGAACATTGTCATTTCAAACACCAGACCGTACATGCATAAATAACAGCCAAAATAAAGCAATTCCAGTTCATATTTTTCAGATGAGAAGATAAAAGACAGTGATGCTAATGACTCATCTGACATACAGGATTAGCAACAAAAGAGCAGTGTGCCTCCCAACTACGAGGTCTGGCAGTGAGGATACACCACACTCTACTCTCTCCATTTGCCACACATCCGACATGAGCTGTATCAGAGCAACCATATGAAACCCACTTATCATCAGTCCATCATCTGCCATTCTGACTCTAACTGAAGCTTTACTGACCAACAGTTGTGTCGAATATGCAGTTTCTGTCATAGCAAAGGCAGTGCAAGTACCAAAACCTGATCTTTATAGGCAAATGGATGATCCATTTAGCACCAGCTCTCTCCTGTCTTACAGCACAGGCCCATGCAGAATGGTATTCCTTCTACTGTGCCAGTGGAAATGAATATTAAGGGTATGCTGGTGCACATGGTTTGTATGTTAGAGTGAGCAACGACAAACCAGACACATGACTGCAGATGGCCCTTCAGGGTTAAATCTGACTCAAGAGCTAGCTCTGAGTTTGAAAACAAGATGCCAACAACACACTTATCCTTGTTGTTTGTCCAGCATTAGCAAGACACGCTTCTAAATATTTAAATTGCAAACTAGTACCTTCTGCATTCAAAAAATGGTTGTGTAAGAGGCTGCAGTTTTTTTGACTTACCAGGAGATGGCGGCTGAATCTTAGGTTGTTTTTTAGTATCTCCAGTGCTGAAGACTTCTGGAGGGGGCTCCTCCCCTCGCTCAATCTTGCACTCGAAGGCAAACAGGTACTGAATGTATTGTTTTTTCAGGGAGCTGGCTGCGCTGCTCGAAGTGCCGACGTTCAAGGTGGTTGCCAGCTCACGCCACTTCTTGTTTTTATTAACCTAGCAAAATAAATGTCAGGATCATTGGTTTGCAGCAAAGTGGTTTAAGTCAGGAGACAAAAAAGGGAAAGGAAAAAGAAGAAAAAAAAAGGGGGGGGGGGGGGGGGGCTGCATAA